CAAACAAATGACGACAATGGGCACACGTGATCGGAGCAGACACGTATATGTAATACGCTGCAATTAACGGTATACGAGATCGTTTTGTTTGGCATGAATACAAAATATTATAATATTCGCTATATATATATATATATATATATGACATATATTTTAATAAGTGTTGATGTTTGTATATACATATTTGTCGTATATTAGTACAAATATGTATGTACGGTTTTATAGTTCTATACACGTGTCTGATATCTGTAGCGTCGGCTAGGTTCTTTACGTATACTTATAACATGTTCTACATGTGTATACGTATAAACCGAGGGGTGGATATCATTGCACACCCAAGAAGTTTTTCTCAAGTTTTCCCAAACGTGGTTTAACGAACATTAAAAAAAAAATGATGTGTAGATCTTGCTAATCTCATCGGTCTGTGTTTTTACGTATCTAAACTTATAACACTATTATCTTCGTCGAATTTGGAATGTCCTGACCATCCCCACTACACTGTTAAGTGTGTGTGCGCGCGCGCGGTCATCGAGTTCATAGCCTTTGTACGCACGCAGAAAAAACTAACGGCTATGCACACATAAATATGACACGTGGCAATTAAACAAATATTATTATTGATTTATGCAATGGATTTTTTTTTAACTACATCACTGATGGAAGTTTTGGTAAAATGTATTAAAACTGTTGAACATTAAAATACAAACGAAAACTTTTAAATTAGGTAAAGGATAAACCTCTATACGTGAATTTTTTTTAACAATTTGTTATAAATTATTTTATTAAATTAAAATAATTAATATATAGCGTTAACGAATATTATCAATAATTATATATCTATTTGGTATTGGCTAATCTAACCAATTCTCGAAGAAATGTTTGTTTAAACACTGAATTGTTCACATTATTTTACAAAACTAGTAAAAACGTAATAGTCTTATCTCGATAAAAAGTGTAGGTATATTTAATACATTTTAATGTATAAACAATTAAATAAACAAATTTAATTTTATAATTAATATTATAGTATATTAGCCCCAATATAATATATAGCAATGAATATGTTTTCCTTAAAACTCGTAAATTTTTTTCGGACAGCTTCAATTATTTATGATTTGTACTTTTGTAGTCAACTATAGCAGTTATATTATCATAATAAGTTTTTGCATTAAAATTTAGTTTTGTTTTTCCATTATGAAATACCATTTATTTTTTATCAAATATTTTAGAATAAACTATATTTAATTCGAGCAAAATTAGTTAAAATACGAGTACTTTACTCTTGGACTTAAATTGTTTTAAATCATCAACCAAATTTCGGTGGGTGCCGGGTGCGCACTTCTATGGTAATAGATAATTCTTTAGATGTATCAAATAGTCAATAAACAAATCAAAGTTATTACATTAAATTTTCTAAATTTACCTGTTCAAATATTAACACTTTAATTGATGTATGCATAAATGCATGAACATTACGTTACTGTACACAAATAAGATATTATTGAAATAATAAAATCATAGAAATAAAAAACAAAATCATAGTATTGCTACACTATACCGCATTATATATTTGTAAAATAAGAACAATAATATAATGGTGATAATTATTTCTATTAATAATATTCATAATATTAATCCCAATCAAACGGAAAATAATTTTATAATTAATATAAAAATGAATAACTATACTTAATTGTTCTCATGTTTTATTCAAATATATTTTAGTACTATCAACGAAAAAATATTTCGATTTAAATAATTGAAACTCGCGTTATAATAAGCTAATACAAAATTGGACTTTATGTACTTTAAGAATTAAGTAGGTTATTAGTAGTTAGTAGGCAATTAGTATAATTTTAATCCAATTTTTTTTTAATGCTTATAATATTTCACATAAGGATGTACAACACTGTTAAACTTGTATGATTCAGGGACGCATTTATCTTAGATTAACTAGTGCTATGGCCCTGGGTGGTAAATTTTGAAGGGCGGCAAAAATCTGAAAAAATGTGATTTTTCAAAAATTAATTAATGTTATTTAATTTAAAATTTTTTATAACTTATCATTTTTATTTTTGTCAGACAAAATTATAAATTATATATTTCTAACGGAAATAATACTTCATGATTTTTTTTTAACTTAAAACGTATACAAAATATAAATGTAAAATATCATACGTTTTTTAAAAGCTGTATAGTGTATACCAACATAAACCAAAGTTAGTAGGTAAGTATAACCATTGATTATACATAATACCATATACAAAAAAAATGTTTTGGGAGGGGGCTTATACCCCCCTTTTTATAAAAAAAATGAATCCACTCGTAGATAATGTTCCTTGTTAGCTAAATAATAAAAATTATATATTTCCTTACATAGACATAGTCTGAAGAATGTTTTTATATCTTCCAGTTTCAAACTGACCGGCTGAAAGGTCATTTTCAACATTAAAAAGGATTGAAAAGTACTTGCGATCACTATTAACTGAGGACCATTTGAACAGTTTGGCTATTCTCAACATTGGGACCGACATTTGTAAAGATATTAATTATGACTAAATTTGCTCATAGAAAATCCCGACGTAAATATTTTTAAATTCTTGACTATTGTTCCATGTCTGTTTTTTTTAATTTTTTCATGAATATATTTATAAATCATAAAAATTTTGAATTTTTATATTATGTTTTATGAGTATTATCTTTTTTTCCAATAAAGGTTATTGTTTATGCTACATATTATATTTTTATTACCTAATATACCTAATTACCTAATATGACTTAGGTACACCTATATTTTAATAATCTTACATTTTGCAGACATAAGGGCGGCAAAAATGATTAGCTCTGGGCCGCAAAAACTATAAATACATCACTGGTATGACGTATAATATATTTCTAATAATATTATCAAAGTACAAATTAAACAAAAAGGGTAAGAAAAATATATACATTTTAATACTAAAAACATTTTGACAAACTTAGATTATTCGAGATTATTCGAATTTAAAACTACACTTCTAGTAAAAATCTATACTTAATAAATATTTAAAACAGTAATAAAATGTACCTAGTTTAACATATAATTAATTATATATTACAATTCAAAATAATTTTTAAATAATAAATAACGGATAATATTAACTTTTATATTAATTAAATTTTATTTCATATCCTTTAATAATCTCAGTAGAGTAATTATTTTATAATATTTATATATAGTTACTATTTTGATTGATATATAATAAGATAATAATGGTAAATCAATATTTTAAGCACTATATAATTTATATAATTTTGGTACTAAATAAACAAATTAATAAAGCTGTTAAGATTTAAGACACGGATCAGTTATTTATGTGACTCGAATAAAAAATATATAAAAATAAAAAAATTTCTACTAACTTTGAACTTCAAAGTTAAGTATATACCGTTTTAAATTGAGAAATTAGTAATATTAAGCTAAATCGAATATACTTTATAATAGGAATTGTGAAATCAACTTTTATTTGTATTTATTACTTTAGACACCTGTTATAAATACAGCTATATATAAACTGAAAAGCCTTATATAAAACTATCGTATTAAATAAATTATAGATTTGAATAAATAATTTGTTTAAAAAATAGTGTTATCCTAATTTACAATTGATATTTAATAAATATATATTGATATACCTGTAGTATTTTATGTATACTTAATCTATATCAAATAATTTTAAACAACAGTGAAAGAGAAGAATGTGAGCAATCATATCATTATACGTCGTATGGTTAAGTTGTATATATTTTTAACATATTTAGATTGGTTTTGAATATTCAATGTATATAGGTTGTTGGTATATAGAGATAAATTCGAATTAATTAAATTAAAAAATATTAATTATAAATACGCACAATTAGTTAAAAAGTTCTTTTTCAGATTTTTTTTTAATGTGTAGGCAAAATGATAAAAATTAAGCAAAACTATAAAAAATACACCATTGTCAAGCCTAAGTATATTCTTTTCATAACTCATTATTTCCATTTTAAAAAATAAATGACCGAATGAATGTTTAGTATAGATATATAATATAGAACATAGATAATTGGCGAAACTAGATAATAGACTACTCTCTTTATTCAGGCAATGTTCGGGCTTCGAAGTATGTATTAAGTAGAATTTAGGATCCTATTTAAATAAATAAATGAAATTATAATTTTTTACCATTATATTTTTATGATAAAGAATTTTTTTTTTTAAATATATTGAATATTTATCGACCTAAAACTATGGTCTATAAATAATACTTTCTTATCTATAGTACCTACTATTTAAAAAATTAGAAGCACAATATTTCACTATTTATGATTAAAATTATCACAGTATCACGTTATGTTATTAATGAGCCATTGTAATATAATATATATATATATATAATATATATATCCTATTCGAACTATAGCTACAAAAAACTATAGGGTAAAAATATTGTTTCTGCAAAATATTTGGCTATTACATAATGCAAACTACATAGGTGTGGTGTAATTATATAAATAAGTAAAAATACTTATATGTACGTATTTCTTGGCCCCGTATTAAAAAACTAGATACATCATATCTTCAAATAAAAGGTTTTTTTTTTTTTTAATTTAATAGTTAGAGTATATAATTGAAGATAATTTTTGTATGCGAATTTGTATGATCCATACTATAGAATAAATATGTACTGCAATCAAACATTAGTAAACAATGTAATTGCTTCGAACCAACATTTTAAATTAATAACAGGTATATATTCATTCTTCGTTGTAATAGAGCTGTTACCTTTAATGAACAGTATACGTAATTATTATTTTTTATTTTATCATTGAAGCATGTACGGAGAAGTATTTGATTTCTTATAGTTAGATTGTTACGTATGTAATTCGAAGAATAATTGAACCGTGTAGGAAACGGACCGGTATACGATGTTAACCGAATCTCACAATACGTGAAGGGATGCATGAAGTAAACGTCTTACCTTTGGGTGAGTTTTTCGCCAGTCCTTAACGACATGCCGTTGATCAGGTCTACTTCAATGCAAGCGGTCAAGTTCGGAGCACTTCCGGCCCGCACGGTGTCCATGGCGCTGCCTGCAGCCCCGCTACGAGGGTACTCGTCCGGGATCAACAAAACTTTGATTTACGCGTGTTCGAGCACGGAGACCTCGTGGAAGTCCGACCATGTACGCGAACGTGGACGGCCGTGGTTGATGCGCTTTTCCGGACGCCGGTGTGCGTCGACTAGATTATAAGTGATGGTCCGTTAGCGACGAAACAAGCGACAGTGTGGGTCGCACGAAAATGGACGATAGCAGACTACCTGCCATGCACCTTCTTCTGTCTCCGGCGCAGGTGTGTGTGTGTTTGTGTATGTGTGTGTGTGTGTGTGTGTGTGTGTGTATGAGCGTGTATTGTGTACACAAATACAATAGGACGGGCACACACGTTCACGTTGAAATGCGCGCGCGCAGACGGACACACACTCTCGGCCACCTTCACGCGCGCAAAAACCGGTATTGCTGTGGTGAGTAGCCTACCCGCGCATAAAGACCTTGATGACTAATCTTCACTGCGGTCACTGTATCTATACCTGCAGGAATACCTCTCTCGTTTCTTTCTCTCTCGTTCCTCTCACTCCTGCTCCCTTTCTTTCTCACTCACTCTTTCTCTCTCTCTCTCGTTCACTGGTTCACTCCCTCCTTTTTTAATTTTTCTATTCGCTCCGACCGCACCAGTATGTAAGATTCTCTCGTTTAGGTTTCTCACCTTCCACAACGTCACAGACGCAGTCCACTACCACCACTACCACCACCACCACCACCGCAGCAATAACAATAACAACAACAACAACAACAACAACAACAACAACAGTACAGAGTTACCTGGTGAACCAAAACGTTACGGGCAGCCGTCTTGTGGTCGATCCACGCGCGCGCATTGCGTAAACATAAAGTCTGCGATGCGCTCGCGCGATATTATTGAAGATTAAACGCTTTTAAATTTGTTAAAAAAAAATGTTTGAAAAATCCACCGGACACGGACGATATTTCATCGTGTTCGGCCGATGGTTGACGAATGTAAAATTATTGCTCGCGGTCGAACGCGCGCTTATTATTTAACGTGATAACATACACGCCGCGTACCGTACACGATGAAAACTGCGGGTCGCGGCAGCCGATTTAGATCGTGGGCAGGAACAATGCGAGTCGGACACGAACGGTACTTGCGCGTCGACGGTTCTCCGGTTTCCACAGGGGTGAGGGTCCCGTCGGGCCGGTCGATCGCGTGGCGCCACGCTACGCCACCGTCGCAATCCCCTCAACTCCGGCGTACACCACCATCTCCAGTGACGTCACATGTCTGCGTGGGCGACAGCCGATTGGGGATCAAACGAAGCTTTTAGGGGTCGAGCTCCGCGGTCCAATGGTTCCTGCGCGCTGCAGCAGGTGAGACCGCGAAGCGACACCCTAATATGAACATTTCGCACCCTTGCGACCGACACCAACTTTTACCATGACAGCATGTGTGTTTGTTTTTACGTATGTATATGTGAGTACATATGTGAATACGGTAAAACCGTGATGTGAATGCGTGACGCTGCTCGTAAAACAGCAGGCTTCGTAAAAGGACTATTAAAAATAATGTAATAAAGTATATACGAGTACATATGAGTATAATGCGCACGTATCCGTGCAGTACTTTACCTTAACTTTTGCACCGTAAAACGTTTTATATAGGTGATACAATGCGGTTCGCCTATACGTTTATTATTTTTGTAACGTTACGCAATATTATCGTATTACACGCTGAAAAATAAACGATATTTTATCAATAAATTGTTTGTGTTTAGGTACTCATATTCAACGCACTGCATACAAGCCAAAATAAATGAAAATAAAAATGATCAATCTTTTACACATTTATATTATTGTTTACTTATGGGTAGGACTAATTCCAATGATTGGTAAATATGTAGTTTTCTGAATTTATTTTTATTTTCTTGTTTATTTATTTAAATTAAAAAATATTTCAGCGCACCAGGTGTTCTTACAAACATTTTGAAAAGTTATATTATTAAATAATTTATATTTAATATTAAAAATAGTTTGATAGTGATGATTAGGGCGCGGGTTTTTATGTAATTACATAATGTTATTGAATGTGCATTTCTCAATTTCAATTAAAAATAAGTACGTTTCATAATACTCTGAATAATATGAGACCTTTTTTATTTTAAATATTTTATCAATATTTACATATTTTGTAAATATTTCACATTTTCATACTATTTCAATACAGTTTTTATTTTATTTACAATTATTATATTGGAATTAAATTAAAGAAAATATTCCAAATCTTGATCCAAATACTACAATCACTATTACTTCAAATATTATGTAAAATAATAATTTGCAAAAATATTTTATACATATTTCCACAATTTTTTTGTTTCTCGGTTAATAATAAAATAATTAGAAACATTAAATTTAACAATAATTGAGAGTCTGGCGATAGTGGAACATGAAGAAATTCAATGAAATGAAGTTCAAGGAGAATCCGGAGTTATTATAAAAATAAATTAAATTACGTACTGGGTAATACGTTGGTTTACAAAAAAAATTAAAACTATTAAAGATAATCTTATTAATAAAAGTGAAAATATGTCAAATTATATTGAAGTAGCACCATCCGACAGATGTGGTATGAAATATGCCTCATTAACCTCGGTCGACGTTGAATGCACCCTCAGCCGCTATGAGTTGACTTTGAAATCTAACCGCCGTACATTAAAATTTGAAAATCTTTAAATGTACGTCGGATCCAATTGTTTCAAAGAAGACAACAATGAAGATGATTAAATTAATGTAAAATATCGATTTTTTTTGTTAAATATTTTACGTTGTTTAATACCTATTTTAGCAAAAATAAGAACATAAATATTTACATATTTTGACTTTTTTATTATTTAAAAATCCATGCTTTACTGATGACTAATATAAAAATATTATATTATTACTAATATGTATTGTATATTTAGGATTAATCTTCATCTTCTAATGAATGTTCTTCTTTATCCCTTAATAGAATATCCTGCGGTATCCGAAGATGTAAGCGTCTCATATGTTAGAGAAAATTTATATTAAAAACCTGCTATTATATTAAAAACAGATGATAACGTTGAACATATAAGTTCTTTAATCAAAATGAAAATGTAGGGATTTGTGAGTAATTAAAAAAATTATTTTAAAAAAGTTAGTTTTAATAGCGGTCTATGCTAAATCATGATTTGCCGATATGTATCATGATAAACTGTAATATTAAAGGTTCATTAATGGAATTATTTTTTTTTCCAAGTTCTACCGATATTCCCACCCAATTACTTTGGTAGTTTAGTTATTGTTCACCCTCTATTAAGTGTAAGTATAATGCAACGTGTTCGTTGGATCAATATTATAAGCAAAGTAAACCAACTGGCACATCACAAAAATAAATTACAACTTCGAAAATTCAGACTTTTACAACTAAATTTAAATTTATATCTGAAAAATATAGATAAAATTTGAACAAATTGAATAATTTTTAAAGGAAGTACATATTATATGAGGAATTCCACGACTGCCAACAAAGAGTATATTTTAATAAATTATCTTTTACATTTTTAAATTAATTTAATGTATAAACGTATGAAAAATATTTTTTTCAAACGCTACACCAGTTTTTTTTTATTACATATAATAAGTTTATTATGCTATTCAATAATCATCAAGTATATTTATTAATTTAATAATACAATCGTCATTGTACGATTTAAATTGTTATAAATAACATTTTTTATTAATTAATAAGACAGAACCACACAATTTCTAAAAAATAATCGACAAATTCATACATTTTTGTAATTAAGATATAATTTTATATGAATAAAACACTTAACTGAGAATAATAATAAATATCATACTTAAATGTCGATAAGCAAGAAGTAAAAAAGAATTTGAATTTAAAAAAAAATCATTATTTGGATCAAATATTCAATTTATGATAATGAATAAATAATGAATACAAATAATTGAAATCAATTATTTTTTACTAGTAAAATACTACTACGTTTATAGGTAGATAGTTATAGATTATGATTTTTTTTTTTTTAGAACATTAATTTTCACGAAATCACCGATGAGTGGATTCGAACTGGTGAATGTGCATTTAGACACATTATTGGTCTTATCCTTTTCAGCCACGACGCCTTCAGATTTTGGAAATTATTTGGTGGCTAGGATAGAAATATATGAAACAAAGGAAATTTTCCGTTTTAATAAAGGCCGGTTTACACGCAACGACTTATTGTACGTTTTATTAAACACGACTAATCGTATCAAGTAAAACGGAGCGTGTATACATTAAATCGTACGTCTTATCGAATCGGAATGAAATCCAAGATTTGATCGAAATACTGATGGGCGCGGATTCATTTTACGCGAAATTGAACGACATGTCGTCACATGTAAATGCAAAATTGGTGTATAGTACAACTTCTCGTCCTTTTTAGGTTTAATTTTCTCCTTTACTTAATAGTTTTAACAACTTAATTTCGTTTTTTTTGTTTTTAATTATCATAATATATTATAGTAGGACCTACTATTAGTAGGTATATTAACCTATAATATAATATAAAATTTTATTCGCATGGGATTTTTTGTTTTCTTGCGAACATGTCTGATCTACGAAATTTTGTTGCACATACACTAGGAACATTATGGTAAACCACAATAGTTCTTCTCCATATCGTCAAACATCATTAAAATAACTGAAAACTATTGAAGAATGGACAGAAATACAGTTGAAACTGGGATGGAAAACTGAGTAAAAGTTGGAACATGTAGACACTTTATAAAATGTACATCTTATTGTTCATTTTATATGTCCAGCATAACGTGCAATAAGTCGTTGCGTGTAAACCGGGCTTAACATTTCTGGATTATCTATTTTTTTTTTTATAGATACATATTGTACAAATTATAATTGTCATCACTTCAACTAATATATTATAATATACTGTAATAACCCGCAATGTAATGATTGAAATACTGGTAAACCTAAAAATCACACTGGTGGCTTAGCTTGATTATGATTCTCTAAATACGATCATAATAATTTGATACTTAATTACTAATTATAATTGCGATTACAACAATAATAATATTATTAATATTTACCTTTAGATGGCTGTGATACTATATTTATATAGTGGTATATTATATTTACTTATATTTCGTGGTACAGGTACTGACTAATAATTAATAATTAAATTGTCGGTTAGATTTCGTGTAAGACTTTTTAACATTAAGAAATTATAAAATAGTTTTGCAATTAATGATATACTATACATATAGATTTTAATCTAAATAAATATATTCAAGTTAAATTTAAAGAACTAAAAAATTATCGATAATATATATTATATATAAATAAAAATAAAATCAAAAAGTTATAATATAAAAACCAGACTTGTTAGGTAAATTTTATTATAATATGACCTTCGTGTGTTCCTACTAACTTTTACTAAACTTTTACCCTGTATACCTTATAAATACCTGTATTTGATATATTTCTAAGTTTGCTGAATACTTATTTACTATATTGAACTCTTGAAGGACGTTTGTTTGTACTAAAAAGGGATTTAAATGTCTAAAGAACTTCAATTTATACTATCAAATATAGATTGAAAAAATATTTGTTTATTTTATCATTATCATATGGGTACACACGGGAGGTGTCAGGTGTGCCCGGATACCTCCCAAAATGTTGTAAAAGGGGCCCTAAAATTAAAGTCAAAAAGTAAGGGATCTATATTTTAACGTTGTTGCTCAAATTAAATGTAATTTATTCTAAAATATTTGGTAAAAAATAAATTATTTTTTGTAATAGGAAAAATAAAATAAAACGATCTAAATTTTCGTGACAATTTTCTCATGGTGTATATAATAGCTACAGTTGTAAACAAAAGTACAAATATTAAATAATTGAAGTTATTAGAAAAAAATATAGGAGATTCAAGAAAAAAATATTTAATAGGATTAATATACTACAATATTAAATAAAAAATTAAAGTTTTTTTTTATTTAATTATTTATGTATCATCATTTAATAAATATACCTACATGTTTTATTGAGATAAGGTCCAAAAGTATTGTAAGCACCACCTGAAATACAAATCTCCGTATGCTTATGACTAGGGAACGGATTTATATGTAAATGCATATTTTTATTAAAACGAGATATTTAAGATTCGATAAGAAATGTTTATGATTTAAATCATTCCTATTAAAATGATGATACTTTTATTTTACATATTTTTACATATTTTGGTATAATTACATATTTTTACATATTTCACTAATTTTTAATTATTTTTAAACATATTTTTATCATTTCATCATTCATACGTCTTCTTCGTACGAAAATACAAGAAATTATTTTAAAATTAGATCCAGAAACTTTTATCGCTATTGGAAAAGCTCAAAATAATATGCAAAATGAAACATTGAAAATTATTTAATTTTAATTAAAAATAATTTAACAAAATTATTAATAAAAAATATGTCCCCAAATGAAAGTATGCAAATTGTTAAATCAGCGATTAAAACTCGTAAGCGGACCAATAGATGTCGTAAAAAAGAAAATTCATGCTGTTACAGAAAAAAATTTTAGGCAATATTGATTTTAAAACAATCAATGACATAATGAATGGCAGACAACCTTTTAAAAATTTGGAATTATCGCCTTCTGATAGTATACACTTGAAATATGCTTTTAATACATCGGTTGATGTGAAACTATAATTTAGCCGTTTTAAAAATATTTTGATACCTAATAGGCGACATTTAGCATTTGATAATTTACAAGATATTGTAATAATTCAATGCAACAAATCTTTTTGATAATTTAATAATAATAATCACTTTTTTTTTAAAGTTTTTTTTCCCCACATATTTGGATGTTTTTAGCACATATTTTATAAATTATACTTACATATATATGTACATATTTCTGTATTTTAATTACATATAAATCCGTTCCCTACTTATGACTATTGTTAATTAAAAAAAAAATAATATTAAATTGTACGTATGAGATACGTATGTAAATTGTAATTCGAGCCTTTAGTAGTACTTGTATACTTTATACCTACTTCTGAGAATTATATTATACTTACGTCAAACTCCTACAATATGAACATAAATTAGTAGTAAAAAATGATAATCCAATTATAGATATAAACATAACACAATGTTATCTATGTTTAATGACATTAATTACAATCAAGATAGTTTAGAGTTGTGTACACATACTTGTACATAATGCACTATAGACACCTATGAAGTCTAAGTAAATATTAATTATTCAATTAACTCTAAGAATTACAAATATTTGAAACAATTTTTTTTTGGAATTTATTATTATTATTAAGCACTAAGTATGTGTACCTATTAAACACTATTAAATATGCTACTGTATATGAATTCTATAAGCTAAACTCATTAACTAAAATTAAATTAGTTAAAATTATATCTAACTATCCTTCAGATATTTAAAGCAGATTATCGCTATCAAAGAGTATTACGAATGAAATTACAAATCGTCACAAATATTTAGTGTTTTATTGATAGTTTTAAATGTTAAGTGACCGAATATAATATAACGATACTATATAGGTATTGCAAAATAATTAGTTATAAATCTGCCTTGACATTGTGAACGGCAGTCGTTTAAAGTTTTCAGTCGTGGGAATAGGCAATGTGAAGACGCCGAAGATTATAACGTTATAATTAAGTGAATATATATTATTAACTTCTCAATAATATTACTATTATTGTTACAGGCCACATCACAAGGTAACGTCAATATTAAAACCAAATTCAAATTAACGTTCATCGAGTGTCCACGAGGTTCTAAGTTCTATGTAATTGATGAATTGAAACTTTTGACTATATTCAAACGCCACTGTAGCAGTAGCTAGATTTATAATAAAGGATACGGTAAAACATATTATTTCTAAAATTACGATTTTTACACAGCAATTGTGAATAACTGCCATAAACTGTATGTTATGGTAAATAGGTTTAATGATACTATAAATAAAAAATTAGTTTCTTGGTATCGGTCAAACTTACGACTTATAAAGGTACACTTTTAAGTTAAAGGTTAACTGTGGTTGAATGAAAAAAAATGTATAGATCGAAAAAAAACTATGATGAATACAATGTGATGTACTGATGTATTTGCCGAAAACTCTTTGAAAAAAGTTATCGAACAAAATCGATCAGACGTCAACAATATTGTTTTCATGTTCAACCTTGAAAATAGGTCGATATAATGTGGACTTTCCGAAGTTTCAGTATTACTAATTATGCAAAAAGTAAATTTTCTAGTCGCGCGTCAGGAATTCAGACTTCTCGAAGGAAGTCGTCTTGAAAAGACATTAAATTAATAATAATAATAATAATAATAATAATAAATAATAAAAAATAATATTATTAAACAATAATACTCAGTCCGTTAGATAGTGTTTGATAGAGAAAGAAAGAGTTAATGAGCAGGACATCTAGAAAACAGTATATGTGCAGTGCAGTGCGATCTAGTGTTTCGCATGTGATTACTAACAACAATCCGCGTTAAGATTTGTAACCACGATGTAGATAAAACGGTGTAGATTTCAATCTTAGAAGATAGATCTTGAAGACCATGATGTAGACACTCGGTGCTGAAAGCGTGTCTTAATCTAATGGTATTTATTAATCAAAATTCACGCTAGTTTGCGGTAAGAAGGCCACTTTTTTTTGAGCGCACAGTGCAAAGTCATATTATTTTCATTATTGTACTCAGCATCTTCCTTCTTCCTTCTTCTATTTGACTATAATAATTGATGAATTATGAGGATCATAGGCGAGCGCAGATTCCTGTTTCCGGTGTGGCTTTTATTTTATTTAATCACCCACCCCGCCTTAAAAAAAAAAAAAAAATAGATACACAAAACATAAGTAAAAATAAAATTTATTAGAAAAACGGATGTACAATCTGATTATCGATGAACGCCAGTCCTGGCAATTTAAATTTTTTGTAATTTGATAAAATTGATAAAAAAAATTTCGATTTTCCAAAAAAAGGAGTTATTAGTCCTTTTTACCGAAGTACTTAGTACCTAGCTACCTAAAAAAAAGTCTCAGGTGTGGCTATAGCTCTATAAGTTACACCCATGCGCACACCTATGATGAGGATTAAAATTTTTAAACATAAATGCAAAGTACAAACTATAAATTCTATGAAAATGTATAGGTATACATTATTTCCGTCCTTTCATGAACCTACATCAGTACTAATTTGCAGTCTCAGTTACAAGGGGGGGTCTATGGGGACTGAAGCCCTCCTTTAGACATTAGGTAGAACCATATCGAACGTGGGTACTTAAAATATTTAAAAAAATAGATGTAAGAAAGACTTCGTACAAATCGACATGGGCAACGAATTAAGGCAGTAACTCACTTTACTAAACTCCCCTTTTTTCATTTCTAGATCCGCGCCTGTGAAAGATATTCATGGGGCATACATTAATTATTTAGTATTATTTATTATTTACTATTTGGTTATAATCATGGATATAAATTAATAAAGAAAAAACTTTTGTTTATTATATAGGCACTTGAAAAAGTCCAAATTAATGAATAAATAACCACTCCCTGTACTACAGTATACTGCATTATATGTAGTACAGTAAAGTATTTTTTCAATTTTTTTTATTAAAATAATCCAATAATTGGTACACTATCATGTATAAATTCTATAAACAGCATACAAAAGTTGGCCTTAGCGCTACCTGATGGACAAAGAATGAACAATGTGCCGCAAAATTGAACACACTATCGCAGGTATGGAATATATAGGAGTATCTACATCGTATTATCAACATAATGCTCATAACCCAGAAAACCGTAAATTTAAATCTTAAGGTAGGGCACTGCAACGTTTAAGTGGTACAACTGTGATGTCACGTTTGACGTTGGAAAGTAAATATCATGTTTGAACATTGCGAACCCTTGAGTCGAGATTGAGATTTCTCACCAGTGAAATTCGATATTCAAGGCGACGTGTTCAACTTTCATGATGACTGGTTTTTTTTAAATTATTATCAGAAATTTTTTATTATTTTCACATACATTATGTTTCATATCATTCTTCAATAATTTAATTGATTATTATAATTACTACGAACAGGTTGTTTAAAGGCTAACTATCATTTTATTTTGTTTGTAGATAAATTACACATTGGTATAAATAAAAATAGTTTTGTATAATTTCAACTGTGAAATATTATGTTATTATAGAACTGTATTCACTTGATATTACATAGGATCATACTAAGAAGATCATTTGTTAATTATTTTATCAAAATGGCACTTTCAAAACCTGTTGAGTTATTACAAAGTTTAGTGTTAACCTATTTAGAGCGCTTGAACTCAAGACCTATTCGTACTAAATCTATCACCAGGTATTATAACTATATAGTTATTATTATTTTTATTTATATTTATATTTTTAGTTGTATTATTGCTTCACTGGGAAATATTACTTTACAAAATATTGCTGGAGCAAAAATGATTGACCAAGATAGTGTTGTGGCTTTTGGATTATTTGGGTAATGATATTTGATAATTTTTTTATATACTTAAATTTAAACTTTTGTTGTAAATTAACTCATTGTTTTCTTACAAATGTTTGTACTGTATTAATAGTATTATTTTTGTTCTAGGCTTTTGTTTGGAGGACCTGTACCACATTTTTTTTATGAGAATTTAGAAAGTATGTTTCCAGAAAATACATCTAAAATGGTCTTTTTAAAATTTGGTATAGAGCGTTTATTATTTACACCATTCTATCAATTTCTTTCTTTATATGTGTTATCAAGATTTGAGGTAAGAAGTATATTTTGTATATTTATTATCAATTTTATAATACTAACTATAAATTCATGTAGGGAAAATCACATGAAGACACAATGAAACAGATTTATGCAATTTACTGGCCAATATTAAAAGCAAATTGGCAAATTGTTTCTTTGATACAGTTTTTCAATGTGAAATTTGTACCTCCAATGGTAAATATTTATCTTACGTTTTATTAATTATTACCTATTTGACTAATTATCAATTTCTATTTTAGCTACATGTACTATTTCATAACATGGTTGGCTTCTTTTGGGCAATGTTTATTACATATAAAAAACGCAATGATGATTTTAGACGTGCAAATATTGTTAAATAATGAAGACTAAAAATATATACATTATATGTATATAATGTATACATTTTATTTTATTTTTAGCTGTATTTATCATAGACCAACTAGGTCTATGATATATGGTAAAATATGGGAAATGCTCAAATAGGCAGGTGTTAAATAAAATATAAGACTTAGAAATCAAAACATACCTAGATATTTTGATTTATATTATTTAAGTACATATTTTTTTTATTTTATATAAATTGTTATTTAAGGTGACCAATAAATATTAATTGTTGAAAGAAAATGTAATTTTTGATGATCATATATGACACATTTTTTTTGTTTTGTAGCTAGGATTTTGAAGTAAAAGATTTTGAATAAAATTAGTATCATTTATCATTTGAATTTAGATAATTAAGTTTTACTTTTATTCCTGCATACAAAATTCCATTGGAATCCAAATACAGCGAAACTTTCGTACAACGAAGTCTCATGGGGAACAAATAAAATTCGTAGTACAGAGGACCTAGTTAAATAGAATTACAAATTGATTGACAATGATGATCATGGTTCTCCACAATTATTCGTTAAATAGAAAATGTTGTTATACAGAAGTTTGTTGCATGGAAGTTTCACTATACTTTTATTATTCTCAATAATATAAACACATTATGAAAGCTAATTATTTAATAATTTTTCCAGTATTTTTTACAAGTAATTTTCTAATAATTTGTAGAAGTTTAATAATATATTCATATATCCAGCAAAATTAAAAAGCCAATTTTTTTAGTAATGATTAAATTAATGCATATGTTTTGAAAATAAAGAATTAGATTATTTAATATTTTAAAAAACGTGTAAACACAATTAAGACATCTCCTACTCAAAATAATTTTATCCTACCAGTAATCATAAACTAAGTACATCTTAGTCGTAATTAAATTTTGAACTGTAGGGAGTCCTAGTGCAATATTATGTAGGTCACATGACAGGACTTTTATTAGGTTAAATCAATTATAGAGGCTTCAAAAATATATACTGTAACGTGATTAAATTCATATCAACTGTTATTAATTTTTTATTTTAATTTATCCAAATAATTGGATAATTTATAATTCAAATGTGTTTAGTACTTAAAAAGTAAACTTAAAGCTATTAAGAAATTTTCAACAAGTACATTTTATTAGTTCAAAAATTTTTATAATTGTATTATATTAAGTTTACAATGAAATACTTATTTTGTAATGGCTCATGGTCTATTTCCTTAAATCCAGCACTGATCTTAGTCCATAGAACATTTCAGTAACAGAGGAACCATACACATATAATGATCTTTATATGTTTATGACAAAAACCAATTGCTTATTTAAAAAAATAAAGCATTTAATCATGGAAGAACTTAAGTTTCATGGGTTTAAATATTGAGAATTTTCCATAAATATATATTAAGCTAGAGAGCCTATATATGCAGATTGGGCAATGTTCAAACTTTGTAATCAACATCATTGTGATGAGTGACTGATTATGTAATCATAAAAAGTAAAACTTCAAAAATTTAAAATCGCCTATTAATTCTTATTATTCTAATGGTGTAATACTAATATTTATTACTGTATAACTCTGTTAACTATGTAAATTGTGTAAATAGGCACTTAAAGATTTAACACTTGTCTAACTGGAAAATTGTAATAATTTGCATAGGTAGGTACCTAAAATTTTTATTTTAAAATCTAAAAATGTGCAGGTATTATATATAATATAAATATAACACTTGTTTGGAGTTTTGCTTACAAAGGAATTAAGCTAAATTACGTAAATTAATTTAATATAATAACAAAGGATTCAATTATCAAGTGTTAACAGATATTGGTTTTCACCGATATGTACACTGCAGGAAGTTCCTGTCAGGAACACACCATAAGGTATAGGAATATTGTGTACTACAACACAGTTTAAATTTTAAATCAAACTCAAGTTTCGATAAAACGTTAATCCTTTTTCTTCAAAACCATAAAACGAGTCACGATTGACGTTCGTTGAGCAAAATGTAATTTGAATTTTGATTATTTGATACCATGAGATATGGACAATATCCGTTTGTAAACGTTGCCCAACCTTATGGCGATTAGGCTTCATATTTTTATTCTAGAACGTAAAGAGTCGGGTATTTAGTTTTATATTTATATATATATATATATTTCTGTGGTATTTTCATCATAGAGTTATATTATTCGTATGATTTTCACTAGTGTTGGGTGTAATCGAGATATACAAACGAGATATCTCGATTATCAAAATAGTAATTCGATTATATACCCGAGAGATTATTTTGAGTGATATCTCATTTATTTTAAAAATAATCAATTCTTGATTTCGAAATGTGTATTGAATGAAAAAAAATTTGTATGATTTTCATGGAACGAAGGATTGAGGGAGGAATATTATTTTTTATCTTTATAATCGAATAAAAAGTGGTTAAAAATGGAGGGGGCGGAATCACCCTTCTTATTTAAGGTAAGTATATGCGTCCTTTTTAATTTAAGTCGCCAAAAGTCCGGGTGGACGCTTAATGGCATTGGTCACTAAAATACAATATTGAATATACAATACTTATAATATTACAAAATTACATGAAATTTATTTTCTTGATTTATTTAAACAAGTGGAAAACATTTCGGAGAAATAATATTCAAGTATAACGATAAGAAAAAATGGTAGATCATGTATACCATGGGTTAATTTAATCGACACTGTGTCTAATTATAGATGAACCCGAGCGGTTATTACCCATAGCTGTAAAATCAAAGTGATAGTGATATCGACTATTATTTAGAATAAATATAAACAGAATAGAATAACTATAAATAGTATAAATGTTAAATTATGATAGAGGATAGACATTATCTTATAATATAGACAGTATACACTTCACGTGCAATGTATGTATTTGTTACTGTCTACGTTGACCAACAACTAACATGGTTAGTAATTGTTTCTTTTCAGTTTTGTTAAGTTTAAGTTAATTTTTTTAAACATTACCTACTATGTATTTCAATTTATTTTTTTTTGAGCAGGCATATGTATAGAATTATTTTTCTTTGGGGGAAATTTGTTTTTACACCCTATGAAAATAACATTTTTATGAACATATATGTGTAACAAAGGAGGCTTAGACCTCATGAGTTTCCTAAAAAAGGTTGGTAACATTTAAAATTAGGAAGGGGAAAGCTTCTCAATTTTTATGAATATAGTCATCCCATAACATTTTCCCTACTTTAACCACTGCGAATAAGTAAATACTAGTTGTTCACTTTGAGTCTTTGTATTTACGACTTGTGCTACTCGTGGAACTGGTTGTTAGACAAATATTGATTGGTATACGGTTATTCTTAGTTATTTAATTTTAAAGTTTGTCATAAATATATATAGTTATAATTTTTGAATTACTTAACCACAAAACAACAAAATTTTCTCAGAACGTTTATAAATAAAATTTTATTATATTTATATTTATATATTATATTTCAATGGGACATTTCGAATAATTATTTCGAGACATCTTATGATTATAAAAATGTCTCGATTACTAATATTTCGATTATTAAAATCATTCGATTATGCCAATCACTAATTTTCACACACCCGTTATCAGTTGTCTCAAGTATAAATTGTGATTACCGATTAGAGATTACAATGTAAATACCACCAACTACTATGAACCAAGTCAACTATTTCGACATCGGTGATAAATACTAATTAGTTAACATCGGATCAGAAGCCCCTAGTGTTCCAACTTTAAAATGAAATGATCAATATTGAAAAACCAGACCTGCTATGCGGAATTTTGTGATTATGTGATTAATCCTCTATCGAGTAAAAATTTAGTTGAACAATTTATATAATTATAAAATGATTCAGTTTGTACAATCGCTGATTTTCATACTGCTCATAGCCAAATCAATGTGTGATCAATCAGACGAAGGTGTTAAATATGCTAGTAAATGTGAAGGTTTGTATGATTCATAATGCATACTGGGCTATAGTTTAAGAACCATAGTATCAAATGTAAAATGTATGTTTATTCTTGACATTTTTTCAGCTTGTAAAATATTAGCAACAGAATTAGAAAGTCGTTTACAAGAGACGGGTAAAACAAGTGAATACTTAGAACTCGGATACTCTATAGATCAGCCGAAAATAAAAAAAGAGTATAGAAAATCGTGAGTTGTACAATTATAGTATAATGCTTTAAATTTTATACAAATTTCATGTAAAGTTTTCTTTAGAGAACTACGTCTAGTTGAATCATTAGATGGTCTCTGTGAAAGAATATTGCAGTACAATATTCATAAAGAAAGAACCGATAGTACACGTTTTGCTAAAGGAATGAGTCAAACTTTTGAAACACTACACGGTCTTGTGTAAGTATAACATTTATTGTTGAACTATGTATAATGAATCCTTTTTACGTTTATAGAAATAAAGGTGTAAAAGTTGAGCTTGGAATACCATATGAACTCTGGGACAAACCATCAGTTGAAATAACAAATATGAAAACTCAGGTACTATTATAAACAACATATATATAAGAAATACTAAATTTAGTAAAAATTTTTGCAGTGCGAAGATATGTTAGAAAATTTTGAATCAGATATAGAACAGTGGTATTATAGTGATCAAACTAAAAGTTTAAAAGATTTTTTATGTAGAGACCGTGCTTTGAAAAGTTCTGATGTATCATGTTTAAGTGAAATACTAGTTAAAGGAGACACAGGAAAAATTAAACAGGAATTGTAAATCTATGATTAAAACTACAAAATTGGATATTATGAATAATTTTATCATAATTATATTATCCATGTGATATTTAATATTATGTTTTTATAATAATAAATTAAGTGAATTTGATTAATGTGCATTATCATTTTGAATTCTATAAATCATTTTAATTTATTTAATCATATATCAAGTCTTGTGTTTACTTACTATTATGAATATAATTAATTATATAATCCAATAATGGAATTCCAAGTTTTTTAATTTATTGTTCCTATTTAATGTAATTTAGTGCCAGTAGAATATCTCAATATTTTTCAAATTATTTGCCATAAAGATTAAATGTTAATTTAAAGAAATAGAAAATATTGACAAAATTGTAATTGTAATAAATATTAAAATAAATCTAAACTTTATTTGTGGTATTTTTGTTAATTTTATTTTTAAATTTGGTGAATTATAAAAAAAAAAAAAAAATCAGGTTTAAATTTACAACATTAAATGATAATTCTAGTGGTCACTTGTTTATTAAACAGGCATTTTAAATTTGCCTATCATTTCCCCTAATATTACGGTTTCAAATAATGTAAATAATAAACTGATTGGTTAATCAATTCCTATAAAGTTAAAAAAAAAGAGATTATAATTTTGGAAATAATTAATTTTATAGTACTAGATAGATCTACAATAAATGATGTTAATAACCCTGGAAAATGTTTATGATATTAAACTGAAACTGAATAAAAATATTAAGCAATAGGAAGTTTTTTTCTGAATTATTAATGTTGTGAACTCTCTTCCACGTTCCTGCAAATAGTATACAGACCCTCGGAAAAAAAGAGTGTAGGGATACTATACTATTTATATATTAGAGTACATACTATATAGTGTTCACTCATAGACTGTACATTCACCCATATTATATACAAATTTCCATAGAATGTTGGATAAGTTCTTAGTAGTAGGCAAGTAACATAAATTATTGTCAATGTCAAATAATACACTTAGTGTATGGCCATGGCTAAAATATATATCTATACCTTTATGGTTATAAAATAATCTTTGTATGGTTCTAGGAGTACTTACTAATCCAATTGTCATACGGTTTTTCTAAACTATACACACATTGCGCAGCAGGTAATTTAATTCCTAGAGCCAACCTATAACAAAGGTTAACATTGTCAGTTATATAAGTATATAGGGGTAATATGAATAAAGTTATAATAGGTAGATATCTAGGTATTTTTGGTCATTCGATATCAATTGTTCACATTTAAAAGTTTGTTTAAAAATACCCAAGAATCCAATCAATCCAATCAAACTTTAGTCGATGGATAAATATTGCCAAAATATACTTATCCAAGAACAATTGTGCACACAAGAATGATTAAAACACTTATAACAATACTTTAAATATTTCTATCATCCACTATATGGGGTGAAGCCAGATAATTCAGCTAGTATGTATATATATTAGTAATATTTGGTGAAATATTCAATACTGTATAGACCATAAATTAAAATGGTAATTAGCGAGGTATTTACACAAAGTAATGAGTTTGATAAAATTATGTAAAAACAATATTTTAAGAATTGTACAATTAAAAAATAAAATACCAATTTTTAATGATTTTTGATTAACATTTTATTAAATGTTCAGTATACATAAAATTCAAGTCAATAAACTAAAACCGCTTTATAAACTATTAAACATTTTTTAAATTTTTTTTATAATTATAGAGAAAAAATAGTTACAATAACACAATTATTCAACGAATGTACCCTAATATATTAATGTATTTCATCATTAGAATTAATTGATAAATAATACATAATTTTGTAACTTTGCATTAGGCGGTAGATCAATTTTATAACTCAATTCTTTAAAATTTAAAAATAAATACAGATATTTGTTCCATTGGCATAACATTAAGACCTATGAACAAAATACAAAAATAATAACATCATACATAAAATATTATCTATAGTAACTTACAGCGTGTATCAACATTTCTCAATGATAGTAACGCAGTGTTGATTCTGAGTCACGCAATAAGTAAATTCTATTTGGCAATAATAAACTTATTTCAAAACAAAATACACTTAAAAGAAAATTGGCATAATGCCAATACTAAATAATGATAGTTTCAGAAAAAAAATTTGTAATAATTTTTATAAAATCTAAAACTTACTAATAAAATCTCAACAAATGTAAGATTTTTAAAAATTATTGACTAGAAATGGGTAAAAATAGATTAGTTATCATCTAAATTAAATTTCACAACCGTAAATAGCCTATTATTTTAAAATTATGAAATTATTTAACATTCTTTCTATAAGCATAAATAAATTTTGTTAAAAAAATGTATGTAATCCTATTCCATTGCTTTTTAACTATCATAATAATTTTAAAACTAATAAAATAATAAAACTAAATTCATTCAAATTCAGAACAAAACTATCGATTATTTAATTTTATTATTGGTCGAAGTCCTTGGTTGTGTTCTATTGAATATGTATAAATACTGTTTTGGTGGCGGGTTGAGAATAGGTAACTGACTAGTTTCGCACATAACTATTAACAAAATAAAATTATTAGAATCATAATACTTCTAATGATAAAATATATATATATATTTAAATAATAAACAACTATGTGCTTACCACACAACTTACTGTAGCCAAGAAGCAGGTGCCCATAATGGTTCAGTTTTTAATTTATGATCAGCTTCTAACAACTGTTCCAGAGCCAACTTAAAATCATCATTTACTATTATTTCATCAAACCAATGGTCATAAAGGAATTCTATTCGTTTGGAACTTCTCAGAATTTCATTGAACTCATCATCCTAAATAGAAATGTATGTAGCATGTTTTAATAACTGATTTGATATTTACTTACAGTAAAACCTCTAGAATTTGTTTCATCAAAAGTTGACATTGCAAATGCACCATTTCTAGTTGATTTTAATACATCAAATGGTGGTGGCTTAATATATATAATATAAGGTTTTATATCAGGTGTCCGTAACATTTTTAATGCCTTAATAATTAAATCATTGTATTAAAGTCGAATTTTCATAGTACAAACATTTTAAATTTTAAATATTTATTTTTACCTGATAATGTGGATTTATTATACATGTAAGTCCAGAACGTATGATTGATTTAACACTTTCTAAAGATGTGCCGTAAAGATTGCCTTTGTATTCACCAAATTCTAAAAATTCACCACGAGCTATTTGTTCTTCCATCAATTCTCTCGAGACAAAATTATATTCTTTGCCATTCACTTCTCCAGGTCTAGGAGACCTTGATGTATCTAAAAAGAATCAAGTTAAAATTGTTTATATTATAATATATAAAAATTAATTTATTTAAATCAAGAAATAATTCAGAGTAAAATAGTAAAATTAAATGCATTGTGAACATTAAATAAAGTCCTAACATTTTTTACCTAGATTTTAATTATATGTTAATTGTAGAATGAAAACTAAATGGGATAAATTAAGCTTCTATCAACAAGATTTTTATTTTGGTTACAATTTAAATGACATGAATACCTTTATTACATATAACAGCAAATTATAGTCAATGGACTTTATTTGACCATATACAATTAAGTACAATATTAATAATTAAAGAATTAAAAAAAAAACTTAAAATAAAAAAAATTGTTTTAATTGTTTTATTTGGTTGATAAAATCTAATTAATAAAGATGTTATATCACTTTTTCAAAAAAAATACTCACGAGGTACAGGTGTATGATATTTGTCTGGATTTAATTCCATAATACGTCTCTTCAACTCGTTTCTGCCAACACCAGGTGGACCAATCAAGACAATTGGTCGAGGAAATTCAGGTCTGGGATACAGCTTTACCACTTCTTCATATGTAGCAATATCTTCTCGGTCATAATCATCACTTTCAGCTGCGTCATAGATAACCTTTTTAACACGTGTGCGTACCAAACATTCGGACGCCATGTCTTCACCTAGATCGTTCAGAGCAGCCAGTGACCCACATAATGGGTCCTTGGCTATTGAACGGTCTGGCAAACATGTCATTCCGCCCCCACCAATACAACCCCCATTAATGGTATCCATGACCCCTGTAATCCGCAAACATAGCCAAATGTTAATCATAATACATTACTAAACAAAAAAAACATGTTAATAAAAAAAAAAAAAAAAACAAATAATAATAATAAATAACACAAACACAGTAAAAGAATTATTCAACAGCAAGTATAAATTGTAAAATAAAAATTGAAAAATATTGAAAAATACATGTACATGTAAAAGGTATACCTAGAAAATCTTCAACAACCAACTAATTAATGGTTAGCAGAAATAGCTACTATTTTTTAATAAAAACATGTAAGTGTGCTTTTAATCTTTACTTGCCAAATACAAATATAAATTGATTCAAAATTCAAACTGGTAAATAAAAAATACTTATTTTGATGGCTTATTAAAAATTTTTTTTATAAGAAATAATTGTACTAAAATATATAACTAATATAATTACTGACGATACTGTTATACATTTTTTTTTACTAAACACAAAAAGTTATGTTTAGATACAAAAAGAAACAAAATCAATTGGTTTTAATTATTAAATATAAAATATAAATTTTAACCTACATTTCTTTTTTTGATCAGCCATAGACAATCTTTCATGAATTATTTTACGTTCTTGAAGAGCTTTACTAGGTATTAGTCCAGCTCTCATATTGCGATCACCTTCTTTTCGAGCTTGCCACCTAGATATTACAAAATTAAAAACTTATAAATTAAAATATCTTAAAGTAAGTTTATATAATATATAAAATTACCAATAAGGATCATCCTGACTAACAATGTGTAATACTTCTCCTTTGCTGAAACTTAAGCCAGCTTCTTTGCATGGAATGTAAGGATCAACATCAGTATTAAAATCAAAATGGGCTCTCACTTTCATTTTGCTTTCACGAGCTCCACTTTTTGGATCGGCAGGAATCAACTTGAATGTTATTGTTCCTTCAGAATGTTGCTATAAGAAAAATCAAAAAGTATTTTTAGTGTATTGAAATAACAAATTCTAAGTTTATTATTCTATACCAATATCTGTAATACATCAGCTGGAGATTTTCCTTCAACGTTGATTCCATTTACTTCACATACTTCATCACCAACATTTATCAAACCAGAACGATCAGCAGCACCACCATGCATCACTCTTGCAATGATTATTTTTCCATTTTCTTCATCAGTTTTAATTGTAGCACCCTGTAATTTTTACCAATAATTAATAGTATATAATTTAAAATTTTAAATATCATACTTTGTTTTCAAATTTTAATATTGTTTATTTGTTTTAATGAATTGATATATTATTAAAATAATGTAATTAATACAAGTATAATATTTTTAAATCAGTAAGAAAAAAAACCTTTGACAAATGATTTAATAGGTAATTTTATATGTGACTAATAAGTAATAAAGAAAATTATTACACAGTACCATCAGAGTGATTTATTTTTAGGCATTTCAACATGTGTTCCATATACATCTCAGTTCTATTTGCAAACATTTTTTGAATTTTATATATTTTAACATCACTTTCTATAACATACACAACTCTTGTATACCAAAAACTAAAAATATTTTTGTATTATACAAAGCACACTCAAATGATTAACAGGTCACTTAAGGAATTCACATGGAATATTTTAATGTATTAAATAGGTATTGGTTTGTTGGCAATAGCTTAGGAAACTTCATTTTACAATAAAACTAGGCCGTGAAAGATTAGAACACTAATGACGCAAACCCATGCTCACTTAATTAATGACACATTTAGTAAACTGCAGTAAGTAATCTAAAAATACTACATTTTAATTTCAGATGTATAATTTAGCTGTGTAAAAAGCCTATAGATTATAAAAACTAAAAATAATGGATTGATATTTTTGACTAATGTACACCTGTTAAACCTTTTCACCTTACTTACCACAATTGGTTCGGCTGAATCAGGCTCCCCATCCTTGTGAAATGCAAAACAGTTAATACAAAAAACAACAGATTAACCACTAAGAAGTTAAGGTTGTGAACGTGTTTAAGAAATAAAATGCAAATAAAGAAAAAATAAAAAAATGTATTATAAAAACATAGGTGTATATGTATATACATAAAATAAAATAAAATACAAACACAAAAACAAAATAAAATGGGACTAGAATAAAAAAAAAAAAAATATTTAAAAATAAAAGCTACAAGAAGCAAATACCAAATAGTAGTAGAAACAAGCTATTAAATTAAAATATTAAAAAAATTGTTTATACAGCCATAAGGGAAACATCGACATGCTTAGAACATTAATTGCATATTAGTACCAATGGTTCAGTGCTTTTGACCAATTGTACAATCTTAATTGTCTCTTCATCCTCATCCATTTCTTGGGGAATTTCAGGCAATCGAGGCAAGTAGTCTTTTTGAGCTACCGCATCATGTGCACACAAAAGCCCCTAAAGTAGTTATGACAGAATTTTTAGTCAACACAATGTCTTCAACAGCCGTGCAGCTCCTTAGAGCGCATATACCTGTATGTGAGGGTTCTGCAATAGTTGGAAGAGTTGCCTGGATGTATCGCTAAGAGAAATTCTAGGCAATAAGACTTCCATAACATCCAGAGTGATTTGCATGGAACTTGACAGCACAGGCGAGCATCGACGATCATCATGCACCCGATCAACAATGGAGTTGTACACCTTGAACAGAGCATGTAGTTCTTTGCTTTGCAATAGATTGGACAAGAAGTCCAGTTCTTCTTTAGACGCGGAGATGGCATCCCGCGATCCGACTAACGACTCCAACAGGCCGGCCAAAGCTGAACGGTAGAGAAAAAACACAAAAGTTCAAATGAGCACATCGCTAAGGCGAGACTCCTTTCGTCACCACTCGACTTACCGGGATCGAAGACCCCGTTCTGTTCCATCGTGATGCTCATGACTCAACAATACACCTGGAACACAACGAGTTCACAAAGGGATTTACCTCGCATGCAGGCGAGCGTATATCACACAGGGTGGTGCCGCAGTACTAGTGAAATGACGTTACTTGTTCCGTAACGATAAAACGCACAGCAGGAACATCAGCAGTACATACGTCCGCACACGAGACCGCCGACATAATCAGAGTGCGGTTCAGGTAAACACTGCGGTATCACTACACGTACGTTGTAACGGGCTAGACGATATTATTTATTAATTTATCGCAATAATAGGTACAGCTTCATACTTATTTTTTTTTTTGCAGAACGGCTGGCGCAATCCAATTCTAGGTCAGCTGAAATCGTCACAGTGCCGCCAACGCAGGGGGCCACCACCCGCGATTCAATATTATTATTATTATTATTATTATTATTATTATTATTATTATTATTATTATTATTATTA